CTGCCAGTTTTGGGACAAAAAGTGCTCTGCATAATATCTGTCGCAAATTTGACGTCGACAAGTTGGTACTGCAATGGTTGTTCTCAGAACAAGCTTTAAAAGGTGAATGCATGAAATTTGTCACTTTCTTCCAAGTTGACTTACATGCATAATTTATGTTTTCAAATAAAAATGCATAAATTAACTGATGGATCCATAGTAATGTGTGTGCGTGTGTGTGTGTGTGTGTGTGTGAGGGGTAGATTAACGCCCTACCCTTACCAAAAGAAAATGGCGGATCTGGTCTGCCTCCACCAATAAAAGGAGGGCCATGAGACAAACTGGGACCCGCTGATTCAAGTTTCACATGAAATACTTCAAAATGGCCTATATAGAACCATTGGACATTTAATTTCTTGGCAAGCTTTGTTAGAATAGAATTCCCAGCGTAAGTGGGGTTGCCAAGATGTAGGAAAATAGAGTAGACTCATAGGAGGCTTCATGTAACATATTTCAAAGGAACCAGTGGGGAGGTTGCGCGCTTACAAACTTCTGCCTTTTATGGCTGTTGTCAACAATGATAACATCGAATGAAACGCCAAATGGAAAAAAAATCACCGATAGCCACAATATTGCACCCTCGTTAACCACTAAAGGGATATGACCAGTACAAAATTAGCGGAGGTGTTCGAACAATTACTTACAAAGAACAATGACAGTATTGTTCAAGACGCCGTGGCAGGTGCCAACAAAGCACCGGAATGCGACATAAGCTCCGTAGTTAGGTGAAAATGCAGCCCCTATCCCTGCAACCCCATGGATCAAGCAGGCGATGAAAGAAACTAACTTACGGCCAATGCTGGAAAAAAGAACTTCAGGTTATTTTTGCAGAAAAATCGCATTTAATACCAAAAACTGAATCTAAGTAAAGCTCTGTTTTACCATACAAACACAATCAGCAACGAAATGTAAGTACCTCCACAGGTGAAATACATAATATAGATCACAGCAAGAACGATTAAAATCTTCATGTTTGCTTGTCTATATCCAAGTGTATCCTCTGAAATCACATGGGTATCTAAAATAGTATACAAAATTGAAGAACAGTCTGATAATTATAATTTTGTTACTGATTACTAGTGGACTCTGTGGTAAATTTTCAACAATTAATTTTGAAACAACAGAGATAACATTTTACTAGTTTAGATTTGAAATGGCGTATATAGACCAATCTTTTTTCAAGCTACACGTCCTTACTAATCTGCTGCAAGGCCCCCGCCAGTTGCCCCCACAGCCACTCCTACTAGATAAACCACGTTCGCCATGTTAATAAGAAAGGAACTGTCACAAAGTAGATCAAACTGAAATAGAAATGATTCTTTAAATCATTCTTTACTTCTACAGCTTCCAGGGAAGTTTCGGGATTATAAAAAGGGAACAACACAATAAGCTTATTACTCTTGGAAAATGACTATATTGTAAAATAGGCGTGTGGCGTCGTAAAGATTTGCTGTAAGATAACCAGTCTTGTATCCATGTCAGTACCAAATCTCTACAGATAACAAACTGCCTCATTAAGTGAAATATCGATATTGCATTGTCAGGCCTACCCAACTACCAGACTCGGCACCTACGGATCCAGAATTAACCGGTATATCAGACCACACTACCCGTTTTCAAGGTGTGTGTCAGATCGCATTACAGAGTATCAGCCACCACACCAATTTTGCCTGGTGCGCGATGTGATAGCGATGATCCTAAGCGGGGTTGGAAAGTAGTGCATCTCATCTAGATTCATGCGCTGCTGCAATTTTCCCAGTTTATGCTAAAAATCTGACAATACCGCAATTTTTAACATAAAATTTAGGTTCGAACATAGCCAATGATGTTTTGTAAATAATAACTTGCAAACTTATATATTAATTTAGAAAATTAGACCTATTTTTGATAGCAGAGGCATATTCTGTCGGGGGTTAAATATTTTCATGGCTAGCGGGATGGACGAGATTGACGGAGCAACCATGTTGTTCATAAGAGTCCTACTTGACGAAAATGAGGCTCGATACCCGGATGACAGGTAGGCCTACAAAATTTGTGATGGGGTATGATACTCTGTAATGCGATCTGACACACACCTTGAAAACGGGTAGTGTGGTCTGATAAACCGGTTTATTCTGGATCCGTAGGTGCCGAGTCTGGTAGTTGGGTAGGCCTGATTGTGCAAGGACTCACCTCCGTAGGAAACGTTCTCGGGAATACAGATGTGTCATAAACCCATTCATTACACGACAAGACACTACTGTTTCTTGAATCGTTTCCACTACGCCACAGACATCCCTCATACTCCCCATTCTCGTCTACAGGAATGGTTTGGTTGATAAGATATTGGTGCCAGGCATCTTGGATTTCGAAAGTGTCATTCGCCAGGCCTGGAATGGCACATCTGAAGCATAAATTAGTTTTAAAAATTAAAATTTTCGATAGGCGCCAAATATACTATAACATGTTTCTCTTGATCAATGCGTACTTTAAGCGGTGCGATTAAATGTGCATTTTCCATGCCTATAATTAAATGAGCCTAGACCGCGCACTAATCTGAAAAAGAAAAATACCTGATAGATGAGGGAAAACTGACATATTGATAGGTTGATTTGCTTGGACTTGTTTAACTGGAACAACTAACACATTTGATAAATGGTGCGTCTTTGGAGCCACGTCAAATGAAGCAACAGAGGACTTAATAGACCTTGAACTGTCAAGAGTACATAGCCAACATTCAGCGTCATCCTTTGTATCAAGACAAAGAGCAGAAACCAAGAGCTGTGATATATATTAAAAAAATAAGCGTTGACCTGCTATCAAAAAGCGCGAGTGCGTTTATCTTGCCGTTCACTCTCACCGCAACAATGGGCAAATTCATACAGACCAATGCTGAAAGAACACCGCTATCTGACGCATTTGAAAAATCCGCGGCCTCATCAGACAAAACACTATTATATTTCACGGTCGACGATCTCACGCCCTGGTCGGCATGGATTTATTCACTTGCAAATTGTGCAACTGATCTGCCTTTTACACCTTTCAAAACGTTTGCTGGCTATTGAAAATTTAAGTGAATGTATAGATAACATAAACTGTGTCATATTTTGATTTAAATCCTACAGGACTGATTAGGGGGACTAATATATAGCTCAAGTTCGAAAACTATCTTTTAGTTTTGATGAAGTTATGCATTTTTTGTATGTAAGTGTTTTTATGCATAATAGTCTCATTATTGAACTAATTATATACGCAAAAGTGTTCTTTGAATATTTTCTGCACCTTTTAAATATTGTTAGTTGATTATATAAAAATGATGGTAAGTCTGTTATCGCGTGTTGTGTTTTAAAGAGTCAAAATTGGAAATAAACTTATTTCTGATACATCTCAGAACTCCCTCTGTGGTGTACTGATGAAGTATTCCATTTTTCTCATATACCTTAAAGTTACCTCAGTGGAGCAGTGCGTGGGCATTTACCTATTTTTCTGATTTACATCAAAACAGTCTCTGTGGTGTGCAGGTGAAGTATTCTACTTAATATGTAACACAGGTGCTTCTAATGCGTGTCAGCGCAGCGCAGCAGAAGCGTAATGCTTTTTGTCTGCAGTATGCTGTACTGCATCTCTACTACAAACATGCTCCACACGACTGCGCCACAAATGCTAAAATGCTACCTCGATAATACGTGATTTTTTTGTGCGAGTATTCATTTACAATCATTAGTTTTAAATATGAAAAAAAAAACAACAACAACAACAACAGACATCAATACTGTTATTAAGATTGTTTACGGAGTGAGAATAGTTATGTAACAAAATATTGAAAATGAATGCGTATACACACATACAGCCAGGAAGAAACATCTGCTACACGTGTCTACTTCATGCACCGTGAGCCGTAAAGGCGCCTGTGATGCCTTACCTGTGTGCTGGTGATTGTTGCATAAATACTGTCACGATCATCTGTAGGGCCGTCGATGCTGTGGTGAGTCCAAAAAATATTGTCATCATTAACTGAATCCTCCCGAACTCGTTAACGTTTTTGAGAACATCATCGAATTCCATCGTTGATTGCTGGCGTGGAGAAAAATCTTTTTGTGAGGGAAGTAGTGACTATAGACGTTAAATTTATGTATACAGAGTCACCATTTGAAATACCACAGTTCCTCACGTCATATATGTTAAATGACTATAAAGCAGCATAAAGGTTGAACTTGTCTTACAGGGTCTCATATACATTTGTTATGCTATCTTATATTTATTTGGCACGATGTGTGTTCTACATGTACATGTTCTTAAAGTTTGTTTAGGGTGAAACGTTTTTTTTACTTCTCCGTGAAACTCACATTGTACTGAGCACATGGATATATAAAAAATGTATCAATTTTTGTCGACTGCATCTTACTTCACTTATGAGCACATCATAAAAAACTGGGCGAAATAAACCCTACTGCAGTACTAGTGTACTTCACCTCAACAAACACATTAAGGAAGACTAATGTAGCAGGATATTTTTAGACTGTTATTTCATGCTGTTGTCGATATGTCATCGTTGATGATATGTACTTGACATTGAATGTGAATTTGAATTCAGGTTTTGTCATCATGTTTTAGAAGGAAAGGAGGAAGTCCTTACCAAAAATATAAGCCGTTACATTAAGGTTTAAAAATGATGAGATCAGAGATATGTCAAACAGTTAAGTGATGGGATTATACGTCTGGCCCAGAGACGCCAAAAATAACCACAATAATTTCAAAATAAAACGCAAAGAGCGCTATGCTACATGTGTATTACACTGCTCATTTCTCTGACGTAATATATCATTGTGTTAATAATCCAACAGTCTCCGCAGCTGTTAGAGATCAACGCAAGCAATCATTTAATGCCGTACATTTCCTGCCTTCTCGTCACTTGCAGAGAGAGGAGGATCCTTTTCATATTCGGATGAGAGATCGAGAAAGAGCAGAGAGGGAGGAGAACTTATGAATATCATCAGTCAATGATATCGGTGCAAGGATAGTTATTTTATCGACAATTATGAAACCTGCGATTCAAAAATTGGGAGATCACTGCAGTTTGCAAGAATTGATTGAGCACTTCAGACTTTGCTCTAGCAATCTACATGTAGTCTAGAATTGCAGTGAAGGAATTAGTGCGTGTTATTCGTCGTAAGAGGATATATATATATATATATAAGTATGCGAATACAGTACTTAAGTGATCAAATAGACGGAAGTAAGATAAAAACATGTGACGTGATACTGACAACATGTAATACACGTCCAGGTAAATATAGTGACTGAGACTTCTGATGCTACGGAGGAGCTGATACACGCAAACGGTTGCTTTCGCAGGTTTGTATTCTAAATTATGCTAATTTTTTTTAATTTTTTTTTTTTTTTGCACGGCACAAGAAATTGTGGTATTTAATTATACGATCTCTTATCTCAGCTTTTTTGGACTCCTTTTTTGATGGACTCTTTTATACTACGATCGAACAACAGATTTACACTGAATTATTTTATTTGTACAACCGCAGCCAAAATGCTGGGCTGAGTCATAAAACTCAAAAGGTGAGCTTACGAAAACTAAAAGTTTTAATCGACAAAACAAAAATCTCTCAGGCGCAATCCCATGAAGGCTTGATTGCAACCTCTCTGCTATCTCTCTTCAGCACAGTGCTCGATGGGGGAGAATTTCGGTGTAATTGCTTGGGTAAAGCAGGCAAGGGTCTGTCCTCCAAAGCGGGTCTTAGACCAATTTTTGTTTATTGGATCGTCTAGAGCATTTGCCATATAAGAATATTTTCAATAGATTAAATATTATGCGTATATTCTATAAAAATGCAATTTGCTGTCTCATGAACAGGTGGCCCAAGTTGTTAACTTTTAATTTGAACGCAAACGACCTTTTATTATATATACTGTGTATGCTAAGAGGATCGGGCAGGAATTCGTGAAGAAGTGAACATGCGAGGTAAATTTAGAACACTGTGTCACATGGACGCATTGCTAATTTATATCGTGTCTATTAATCGTGCTTCTGGAATTTTGTCGTAGCAATGGGCCTCAACTAAATAGTGCATGAGCTTACACTGTACACCTTTCACTTTCGAATGGATGCTTTAAGGAGGTCTGTATATAGGCTATATATACCTAATATATCGTATAATACCTACCATTGCTATAACACGTGCTTCTGTTTTTTTTTCCTAGGAACGGGCCTCAAAATACTCGTGTGTGAGCACATACAACAGTTACTTGTGACACCGTGTCAGGAGGATTATCGAAGTAGGCCTACTTAAGGAATACCGAAGTCGAAATTTTGAAGTAATTCTAACTGCCAAATTAGACGAGTATATTGCCAGAGATACAGGTCAGTATGTGAAGTGTGTACACATATATGCAAATTAAAATGCATGTTCCTCTCGTAACGTTTAATTGCGTATAGAAGTGGAGTTGTTGAACTTGTGTGGTATGCAAATATGAGTGTTGCTATTGTCTACCACAAAATTAAATCAATACGTCATGTTTTAACATCTGGACATGACTAATCAAAGGTATGAATACTTCCTTGTAAATTTGAGATCAATCAGAGAATGCCTTGAAGGTGGAATATGTTGAAATCGATTGGAAGAGTAAAAGAAAAAAAAACATATTATGCATTTTAGTAAACCCGCGATGATGATATGTATGCTCTCAGTTGATGTTCTTAGAAACAATGCACTTATATATATATATATATATCTTGCTTGGCGTGGGGGATGGTTGCTACATGTACTAGTATGCATAAGGAAGAACCTCTTATTTTGATCATGTTGCAGCACGTACAATATGAAAAATAGTCTTACCTATACCATTCCAATAACTGTCACGCTAAGTGACTTCTGCTCTTTGTATAGGGATATGCGCACATACTCCCGGGGATGCAAGACAGGCGGGTTTCGATATAAAAAATTCACATGGATTAATTGCTATTTGAGTGTTCCTCATTTATCTGAGTTTTAGGTCGCTTGAGATTAAGGTCATGCAATAACAGCCGACAAAGTGAAAAAGCAATTTAGCAAAATCACAGTAACTCAACCTACTTCCAGTTTGGGAATGCACTCCCCTACCGGGTGGTCCCCCCTCCCCTCCCCCCATGAAATATATTCAATCAATATTGTTGCGTTCATAGTAAGCCAGTCATAAAATTAGCATTTTTTAACAAAATATTAAAAGTCTGTGTTGAAATGTTCCATGCATCTGTATCATTGGTTACGTAATTTCGCTACTCCATTCGATATGATAGTGGTAATTGGGACACTCAAAAGTTTATTATCAAAACACCTATAAGCCTATTGCTATTAGCGACAAAACCAAATGAATTCTGCATCGCTTCGTGTAGCAAAAGTAGTTACTAGCAGCGACGTGCACTGTGTCTGATTTGTTGTTAAAACTTAAACCTTTTTTCCGTTCATTTGACAGCCGTGATAGGAATGGTAGTCCTAGGAATGGAAGTCGGGGTCCTTTATGTTTAGTGCAAGTTATAGGGTTAGTAGGAGTATTGGGGTTAGTGTATGGGATGAATGTCACCTGTACAAAGTAATGGGGAACGGACTACGATTCCTGGCGGACTACTATTTCTGTCACGCCAACACTAGGTTCGCATGCTTGTTTTGTGCGTAACAGCACAACTTTAGCGTATCTGTTCAGCCCAATAAATGTGCACAGAGATATTGTCGTGACTATATATTCAGCCTTGTCCTAAAATGCACAACTGTAAATCTTGTCCTACAAATCTCACGCGCACACTTGTAGAATTTAAAACATCGTGGACGCATCCTTGAGGTGCTATTAAAATCAACAACTTACCTCAATGATTTCTGTTTAAAATAAGACCATATCCTAGTTATTCACCCACCAATTCACCATGGGGGTTCCTGTGAGCGTCCAGCGTGCGACCAAGGTGCAGCGAAAGCAAAATGAGGCTATTGAAGAATACCTTCAACGCAGCAAACTCGAAGAAGCTCAATCAGTAAAACTACTTCTTTTAGGTAAGTGACGGGCAATTTCCCGGACAACTTGGACTTTCACTGTTGTGTAAATGTGTCTCTTTGCTTTATGAGCTAGGGGAGAAACCAATATGCTTTTAGTTTTCGTAAGCTCACCTTCTCGAAATTTTTGCATGACTACGTTAAGAGAAGTTTTTAATTCAGAACTAAAAGTAAACTTAATTAAGTGCGAGTTTCGGTTTTGAAAGATTTTTTCTGTTGCAGTTTTGGTGTCACAGCACGCACAAGGTGTTTAGGTTTCTTGATGCTAGCCTATTTCAGTATCATACAAATAATGTCACGTAATTTAAGTGAATGTCAAGACCATGCATACTGTCAAAAATACATGCTTTATTTCCTCCGAGTATATAGTTCAATGCTCCATACACGTTTCTTTTTATTTCTTTTTTTGTCTCCGACCAACTCTGAAGGCGTCTTAAGTTTAAAGATAAGATAGGTTTGTTTTATTATCAAAATAAAACATCAAAGATCACTGTCTTTTTCTTCCCTTTGTGTCGATAGTTGATATTTTCTCAAAGGGTCAGGAATAATATTTGTCACCTTTTTTATAATCTCATATTATTTCTCCACATAACCGTACCTGCATTCCGTGTATTTAAATGCGAAACCGATTACGTGGAGATTGATGCCGGACGTACATATAATTCTCTATGGTACATGATCAAGGTTAAAAAGTCGATAGCAGATCCGAATGTCTGAAAAAGTGACGGTTATATCGCGCTGTTGAACGACTCTAGGGACAGGTGTCTAAGCATTGTTCTATATTACACTGTATCTTCTTATACGTGTTCTGCCTTTGTGGCGCTGTAGTATATATATGTACATACACTGTAAGGCTGGAATTACCTTGTAAGTTAACATGATTACGTGATTGCCAATTTCCTGGCAAGCCAAGAATGGCTACCCTAGGGACGGATATGCATTGGATGAGTAGTTCTTTTTATTGTGAATATTCGGTATTGCAACGTGTGCCAAACCGAGAAAGACAGGCAAAGGAAATGAATCTTAATGAGTACATTACCGTATAGAGACTATATCACATTGCATATGAAAAAAAGTAGAATAGATAAACAAATAAATAAGCAAAGATTTTTGATTTTGTTGGCTTTTTTTTCATCTGCCACAGGTTCATTATATTTTTACCATCTGCAACCTATATATTACGGCAAGGCAAGTGCACAGTGTCAAGATCGTTTGGTAACGTGGGCAGCTGACCATCTGACTACCAGAAGTTGTGAAGAAACTAGTGTATTTGTTTATTTATTTGTGTTTAAACTTGGTCTTTAGTGCTCACGTTTTCAGTACAATAGAGTTTCTTAAACAAAGAGAATTTGCGACCACGAACCAGTTACACGTCGTTTATGGTAGGAGCAGTAGCGCGATGAAGCAATAAAAATGGACTCTGGTATATACAACGTATACTGATGCCATTTCCTACTCGATCAGATCAATTGAAGCTTGCAATTAATGGCTACGGCTACAACGGAGGTAGTAGAAAATAGATCAGTAAAGTGCACGTGTGGTTGATATAAAGGCAATCAACAGTGAATATATGCCATGTGGGCTCTCGGATACTACACAGTATTTTTCAATCGAAAATGTAAACAACTTGTATGGAGTTATTAATTCTATAAATTTAGGAGTTATTTCGACATCTTACTTCGCGCTTGAAAATACACACATGGGCACTTAAGATAATATCTAGGGTATTGATAAGTACCTTTTTTCTCGCACGTTACATGATATATGCCCGTTTGTTTACTATTAAGTAGATTGTTATCATACAATACGCAACTGAAAATGGCTGAAACACCCATTCCGATAAAATTGGACAATTTTTCATTTTTTAATTGGAAGACTGAAGGCATTCAGCTGTCTTTTTAATTGTTCAAATTAAATTCCATACATGATCGGCTACCGCTTTTAGCATTGCACTTCCAATATGTAAATACTCTGAATGAATGAACAGATCCACGGTCTACCTTCCATGTTAATTTCAGTCCATGTTTAATAATTGAGAGCTACGTACCGTTATACAGTAAATATGGATAACATTCATCTAAAATACACAGAGTTTTCTCAAATTGCAGTTTGCTTTTAGATAGCCATGTTTCTGATGGCGTTCATATATGATATATGATAAATTACATGTAGTTTGATACCATGCTGAAGGAAACTGAAGTATCGATCATAAAAAGCCTTGATATCTTCAGGCTTTCTTCTCTAGTGCCAGCTACAAATACCTGATTGCTTAGCCTCTCCCATGTAAAAAGAAGAAAACAATTTTGTGACACAGAAAATCGTGAAGTTTTTGTTTTTTGCATTAATTTTTTTTCGTACAGTATATGTAGATCTATATTTGTTCTTAACTAGGCGCAGCGGAGTCTGGAAAGAGCACCTTCGCAAAGCAAATGAAGTGAGTATAAAGCAATTGATTTTGTCGCATCGACAATGGCAATAGGCTTCGTATCATTTCCTCCGGCGGTCACTCTCTCTCTCTCACTTTTTTTTTTTTTTTTTTTTT